CTTGAATATATAAGAACTATTAAAATCTAATAGTAAAAAAGTAAACAACCCAACTGAAAAATGGACAAAAGACTTGAAAGCCTAACCAAAGAACACCTGACTGACAAATCAGCACATGTAAAGATGCTAACATTATGAACGAGAAAAATACTAAAAAAAAAAAAAAAAAAAAAAAAACCAACAATAAGACATCACTAGGTAACAATTAATATGAGTAAAACTTTAAAAAAAAAAATAACCATGACCATATTGTGTTGGTGAAAATATGGAGGAACTACTTGTACATTGCTGGAGGGCCTTCTGCCTCTAGAAGGATGCTACAGATATACTTTTCCATATTTCTCCCCACTAAGTACAACTAAAAACCTGGACTTTATTTTATTTTTTAAAGAATTGGGATAATAGACAATAAAGAGAGCAGTGCAGACTAGTTATGGACTTTATGACCCAAAGAACAATGAGTGGAAACTTACATGGCTATTACTTTACCTTAGATAGACCAGAGTGGGTTCTAGAAAAGCTGGTAACCCACAAAGAGAGATCCCAAAAAGTCCCAATAAACTCTTGTTCTAACCAAAGAAACAGCAGGGTGTCTCAATATGCCTTGCTGAGTTGGTATAAGTGCAGACCTACTGGGGAGCCTCAACTCAGCAATAATTAGCAAATCTAATTAGATGGCCAGGGTATCAACAAAGACCCGGTAGGGAACCAAGATTTCCACACCCCTCTGACAGTAACAAGAGGCACCTCTCTTACCTATCAGCACAGACAGTGCCAGAGGAAGTCTGTGAAAATGCAAAGTTTAAGTCACATAGAGTATCCCACCAATATCTCCAATATCTCCAGGCCTTTATAAAAATCACTCACACATAGAACGAGGAAAACTTCAACCTGTAGTAGAAAAGACTCGAGATGAAAAAATTAAATAATACAAACGTTAGAGTTAGCTGACAAAAATAAAAACCAATACATTATTTCTTCTTAAAAAATGAGCTACTGGATGATAAAGACAACAGGGCAGACCAATTATGGACTTTTGGACCAAAAGAACAACAAAGTGTAGTCACATAGGTAACCAAAAAAAATTTTTTTTCAACAAACAATTATGAATGTTTTTAAAAAAATACAAAATCTCAGCAAAGAAATAGAAGATAAAAAGAAGATCCAAGTGGAAATTTCATAAAAATGAAAAACACAGTACCAACAAAAACAAGAAACTCAACAAAGGGTAGGCACAATAGCAGTAGTCAAAGGAGGGACGAAAGCAGCAGTGGATTTGCAAGAGGACAATAGAAATCACCCAATCTGAGTAACAGAACTAAAACAGACTGAAAAGAAAATTAACAAAGCCTAGGAAAACTTATGGGACTATAACAAAAGATACAGTATTTGTGTCAAAGGAGTCCCAGAAGCAGGACAGTAGAACTGAGTATATATTCACAGAAATGATGACTGAAATGTTCCCAATTTTGGCAAAAGACATAAATGTACAGATTCAAGAAGCAGAATGACTCAAAAAAGGCTAAATCCAAAGAAATCCACACCAAAACATATTAAAGTTAAATTTCAAGATAAATCTTGAAAGCAGTGATGGAGAAATAACACCTTACCTCCAAGGGAAAGGTAAGTGAGCGATAGTATATTTCTCACTATAAACCGTGGAGGCCAAAATGGGAGTGGCATGATATTTTTTAAGTGCTAAAAGGACTATGAACCCAGAATGTTATATCCAACAAATATATCCTTCAGGAATGAAGGAAAAATCAGGACATTCTCAGATGAAGAAAAACTAAGAGTAATTGTTACCAGCTAAAACACATCAAAAGAAAATAATCAGAAAAAAAAATATATATATATAAGAAGGAACCTTGGTATATCAGAAAGGAAGAAAGAATAACAAAAGAATAAAAAATGAATTAATACAATAGAAAACTATTTTAAGTTTTCTAAATTATATTTGATGACTAAAGCAAAACTTATAACCCTATCCTATGTGAGTTTCATTGTATATAAGGAAATGTTTAAGACACTGTAATACAAGTAAAGCATGGCAAAAGATTTTAAACTGAGAATTTGGTGTGACTTTAAAAGGGTAATATGTGAAGAGATTTCTGTGGTAATGGAATAGTTCTGTATCTTGGTAGTGATAGTGATTATGTAAATCTATAAATGTGATAAAATATGCACACACATCTTACCAATGTCCATTTTCTGATTTTGCAGGTGTACGATAGTCACATAAGATGCATACATCAGGAGAAATTGAGTGAAGAGCACAAGGGATTTCTTTGTGTTATGTGTGCAACTTCCTGTGGACCTATACTAATTTTAAAATAAAAGGTTGATTTAAAAGAAAAAGAAATATGAAATTTTTTAAAAAAGTAATACCTAATAAGTGAAAACAAAATGAAACAAATAAATCTGAGTGTATTAACTGAGTTAATGGAATAACCACACAGAGGAGCTATTCAAGTGACCTTAGAACATAGTAATTTGACTTTACCTCCTTGATAGGAAATGCCCAAAGGACAAAGAGTTACAAAAAAAAAGAAAGAATCTTAAAGCACTTTTAGTAATCTTATTGTTGGTGGTCTCATTGTTATTCTGATACTGTTCTGCATATATTGCAGGATAAGGAAAATAAGTAATTATGTCAGCATTATTAAGAGCCAAGATTTCATTGATAGAGAAAAAAGGAGATACAGGATTAAGTCAGTTAAGTAAAAACTATAGAACTGAATTGAAAATACCAGTATAATTTCATTATATATTTTCTCTTAAAAGAAAAAAATCTTATTTCTTAGTTCTGTTCTCTGTAAAAGCCCAGAAACAATGACAAACCCAGGAACAATGAGTTGTCATGATTGTGGTTTCTAAAGAACATTTCCTACAAAAAGGAAAATAGAGTTGCTGTTGTTGTTTTAAATGGCTGATTACAGGTTTGGGACAGGAAGTATACAAGATGGGTCTGAAAGTTTTGTCCTTACAGTAGGCTAGTAGAGAAGCTATCAGATTAAGGAGACATTTGGTTTAAAACACCAGACCGGCCCAAATCTCTACACTGGCAAAAGATGACAAATGAAGCATCAATAAGAACAGCTGTGGTGGGCTAAATTGCATCCTATATGTTTAAATCTGTGAATTCATAATGATACTCAAAAAATAACTTTATTGATCATCTTTGAAATATACTAGGAAAACAACTCATTATTTTGAAAACTGGTAAATAAAAGGGGGAAATCATTTATCCTGCCTTTCATATGTGAACCACACTTTACAATAACCAAAATTTTAATGAGGACATGTTTGTCATTATAGAAGTTACAGAGCTAATAAATGAAGAAATAATGATCGCCTCCAATTGAATGCCACCTTTTTGCAACCCTTAATGGAATAAAGGATCTAGGCAATTATCATCAAAGGCAGCTAACATCAGTAAAAGAGAGATAACCAGACCAAGTGAACCTCCTGATGCAAATACACAGCACTACTTAGGGATTGTGCTTGCCCAGAAAACTGAACCTGAATCTGCTCAAGTCTCTAGACCTAACTACCAATTCCCAAGAATAACACCATAGGGAAGCAATCAGAAAATCCAGAGTCTGGGAAACCCTGCAGTGCAAGCAACCCAGTTTCTTCCACAAATATCATTCAAAGGAGGGAAGAGCGAGGGAGAATGACTCACAGATTTATAGACCACTTAAACCAATTGAAATGCAGGAATTCTATTTGGATCCCAATTTAAGCTATAGGGAATTAAATGCTGACCGAATATTTGACAGTCAAGTTGTCTTTAACTTTGAGCTACTGTGGGTTTGTTGTTCTTACCATTTAAAGATATATTCTGAAACATTTATGCAACTTGAATTTGCTTCAAAATAACCTGAGGTCAAGGAGGAAAGTGGGGGTGAGTAGAAATGAAACAAGATTGCTCACAGTTGATCTCTGCTGACTCGGTGATAAGTACCTGGAGAATCATGTTCCTAGCCTCTTAGTTTTGAATGGGCTTGAAATGTTTCATTATTATTTTTTAAATATACCCACACAGAGTCAGAAAATTAGATTTCTAAACTTGCCCTCCTACTCATTGGTCTTCATTCTCTGGAGCATAGCTGTAGCAGAGTCATAGTGACCGTACTGGTAATAGTAGTATCAGTCCCAGTAAGCATTTCTGGAGCACATACTTTAATACCTGTGCTAAGAGTTTTGCGTTAAAATGCCCACTTAATCCCCTCAAAAAATCCTGCCGTAAGTACTAATATCCCTATTGTACAGCTGAGGAAATGGAGGAAAGGCCATCTGATGACAAAGCTACGCCTCAAGCCTAGACTGCCTGCACGTTTGCAGTTTACATTCACTAAGCTACACCATCACCCAAGGGTAAAAGAAGAAAATGGTGCCGTGTCCCAAGGCTGCCCTTATGTGTGGACTGAACACCTGTAGATCTATCGTTCTGCCTCTCCTCCATAAATGTGGCTTCAATGCCTCCAGCCTTTGATGTCACCCTTGCAACATCTGCCAGAAACCATAAAAGTAGTTGAGTTCCGGCCCTCCCTGGTGGCGCAGCGGGTTAAAGCACAGCACTGAGAAGCTAAAGCCGCTTCCGCATGAGTTCGATCCCCGTCTGCCCCGGAGGTGACCACATGGCGTGGCAGACCTCTCCTGACCCGCCTGCTGCTCCCCTCGGCAGAGTACTTTGTCGATCTGCCTGTTCTGCTCCCCACTCTGTCTCTGGTGAATCCTCTCACCGCCCCTGAGCCTCTGGCCTGTACCCCGGTTCTGTATGCACAAATAAATAAATCTTAAAAAAAAAAAAAAAAAAAAAAAGCAGTTGAGTTCCTTGATACTATCTCTCACCCGCTGAGTTTCCTGAAATTATCCCTCAGTCTAGACTATCTCCACCCCAACCTGGGCTGTGAGGATTCCAGACAAGCGCCACTCCTCCACCATGTTGCCTAGGAGCGCAAAGGTGTGCGCATCCCAGGGGCGGGATAGCTCACCTGGACCACGGTGTCTCTTCTCCATCCAGATGTAGCAGTTGTTCTGGGCCACCCCGGTCTGTGAGTCCAGGAAGGGGAGACGCACGCTACGCTCAGCGCATAGCCGCGAGTTGTAACTCCGGCAGTGCTCAATGGCTTCTTTATAGAACTGGTCCCCGAGCCTGCCAGGAGACAGAAAGAATGAGGCCAGGGAAAGCCAAACACACCCAGAGAGAAACTGGGTGTCGCGCCTACCTTCCCAGTTAGATTTTGTAGTTGTGAAGAAAAGGCAGTAAGTACCAACCAGGTCCTATGCCCAGTCTGCCAGGGAAGATAGAAACCCCTTTAACAAGTGCCTACGACCCAAGGATAAAGCACCCGTCAGTGGGACAAGTCCCTTTTTTAGGAAGTATGAGGTCGTTCTCCATAATGGGTATCTCTGGAACAATCTTCTATGTGAATTTAACAGAGCATCATCTTCTAGAACACCTCACAAACATCCTCCATTGGCCACACTCTGTCCTCAGTGGCCAGCAGCAAATGCACCCTGGGACAACCCAAACCACCAGCATAGATTTGCTGGCTTCCATTACAACAGGAAATGGACACTCCATATAAAGACTTGAAAGATGGCGGAGATACCCTGCACCTGTATGCAGAGCTAGTAGAGAAGGGAGGAGGTGAGGCCGTGCGTGCAGCCAGTGGTCTTCTAAAACTACACACTTAGGGCAAAATAACTTCCTAATGGAAAACAAACAAAAGAAGCTTTAAACTAGTTAACAGTTGGGCCTCCCTGGTGGCGCAAAGGGCTAACGCACAGCACTAAGAAGCTAAGGCCACTCAGCTTGAGTTCCATCCCCACCCAGGGAGGTGATCCACATGGCGCAGCAGACCTCTCCTGACCTCTCCTAACCTGCCCCATTCTCCTCAGCACTGTACTTCATCAGTCGGCCTGTTCTGCTCCCCACTCTGTCTCTGGTGAATCCTCTCACTGCCCCTGCACCTCTGGCCTGTGTCCAGGTCTGTATGCATAAATAAATAAATCTTTCTTAAAAAAATAATTGAAATGTGAACCCCAAATAGCTCAGTTCCTGGGGGTTATAACACAAATAAAAAGACCTTTCTGGTTTGACAGAGTGGCGATCTGATTAAGTAAATTTTACATCAGTGACTCTTTGGTATCTTTGGACATGTGGTGATGCTATTAATTTTAAGATAATGTCCTTTTCAAAGGCCAAAAATATAACACTGATTTAACTGATCACCGGGGAAGCAGAAAAATAATCAATGAGATCAAATAAAAGATAGGCACATGGTGGAGGTTAATAAAGGGCTCAAGGAAACAAATGTAACAACAGAGCTGCTGCCAGGTAAACTTGAGCTTGGGAGTGGGGAGGGGAGCAAGGCAGGCAGGGAGGAACACAGAGAGCAGGCCAAGAGGGAGAATCAAGCCGTTCATTTTGAAGCAATATTATGAATGTCCCTTTGTTTGATTCTCTGTAGGTTTGGGGAGCCAAAATTAGAAAGCAAAATCTCTTAAGTTAAAAATAATATCTTTCTTAACCAAAATATCTTTAGAAGAATAAAGCAAAAATTTTAATGGCTTTTTCTTTCTTTCTTTCTTTTTTTTTTTTTTTTTTTTTGGTCAGTGCTTCAGAGTCAACTAGAGTTTAGCAAATTTCTTATTCTGGGAGGACACAACCATTGATGTTTCTAAAGCATCTTTTGGAAATTCCTTGTTTAAAAAAAAAAGCCTTAGCTCCTTTTTCACCTCTGGATATCTTCACTCTCCAAGGAAGACATAAGTGCTCAGAAAGTGTCATAGCAGTTGCAGAACTAAACTGTAATTAAATTATAATAATCATACAGCTGGAAATTAATTGGGGAGGGGGGAGGAAATGCTATAAAATGAACAGCACATAAGCTGGTGTAATCAAAGTTGGTAACAAGGATGATGAGATTGATCAAAAATAAAGAGCCACTTCCTACAAAGTGCTCACATTTTCATCCCACACTCCTAAATGCCTTCTTCTGGTAGGGCAAGGTAAGCCTAGGGCAGCAGAACTTTCAGGGGGCAGCTCAATTCACACAAGATGGCACAGTCTGTCCAGCGAGCCCCAGGAACTCCCACAGGCTCCATCCAACAGCAACCACTGAGCCACAGAGGTGAGAACTGACAGGAGCACGTGACCCAGAGGTGCCCAATGCGAGAAGCCATTGCCTGGCTTTCCACAATCGTTTGACAGACTGCCAAACATCACGTCAACTATTCCAACTCCAGAAAATCTGCTGAAAGAGAATCTATAAAATCAGGTCTAGAAGAAAACCACACACTAAAACTCACTGAGTGGAGAGAAAAGGGCTTCCATTGACAAAACACACCCTAGAAGCCAATGCAAAATGTGGAGTAGGGTCTCAAATTAGGCTTCCCCCCCAAATGCTCTGTGACTTGGGTCCAGCTGCTTCCATCCCAGAGAGAGGCACAAGAAAGTGACCTTACTGAAAAGGAAAAATGAGATCGGCCAAGTCGATGCCCCACACCAACTGGAACAAGAAAGTCAAACAAAGTGGCACGCTGGAAGGAAATTAATTTCACCTTAAATACTTTCCACATTCATAACATGCAATGTTATTTGTAACAGGCATGCTGGGGGGGAATGTGTAATTTTAAATGTAATCTTTGTGTGAACGATGCCTCTCTCACATAAACAGAAAAGACTTTCTGTGGACTGGAACAACTATATTAAAGACTGAAGCTGCAAAAACGTGCCATCCCAACACCCTCTCTGCCATCGTCTCCGGAGAAGTCACTTTTAAACAAGAGCAGGCATTGGCAGAGATTTGGAAACAAAAGTTTAAAGCCATTTTCAAGAGCTGGGAAGAGAAAAGAGATTTCACCCTCCTTGATAAATTCAAGCAGCACTTCTGCAAAAGTTAATTAGCCAAAATCTTCACAGGACTTGTTCTGCTTTCTAGTAGAAAATCAATGGTCAGGTCTCCCTAACCCATGGAAAGCAATTTAAAATAAGAAAGAGGACAAATGTCCTTTTCAATATGGTATTTCTTTAAAAAAAAAAAAATTCACCGCTATAAGATCCCAGGGGTGACATTTGCATGAAAGTTGCAAAGGGCAGAGGGGGCAGGGAAAGGCTGGCAGTGAATGACTCATTCTGTGGAGTGGTGACCAGCGTGCCCCAGGCTGGGTCAGGCACAGCACAGCCTCAGCCATCTCCTGTCTGTCCCAAAGCCAGGGGGCTGGATTACCACGGGATGATAGATGTCTCAGGCTCCAAGAAGCTGGCACAAGGCAGAGTAGAGTGATGTTCTCATCAACAACTGACTTCAGGCTACTCACGGTTGTAATCAGAAGCGGGAAAGGCAAGGGGGGACAAATTGCTGGTCTCTGCCAGGAGCCCCCAAGGCCCGCTGCCTGGAGCAGGGCTGGGTGGGGGTTGTGACACTACCGCTACCTGGAGTGGAGGAGTCATCCCAGCTCCAGGAGCTGTGACTCCTACAGGAGATTTCCAGGAACCTCCTAGAACATGACTAGAGCAGGGGCCGCTGAGGCCTTCCGGAGGAAGGAAAGTGAAATTTCACTATGATTGCCACCCACACCCCAGAGGTGATTTTCAGAGACTCTGTTCCTCTTCCTCCTCACACATCCACCTTTCTCTCTCATCTGTTCTCTTGGATTCCGTCTACTGACTCCCAGCTCTAGCCCTTCTGCCCCCAACACTTGGGCCCCTCCCTTTCCACTGTCCCCCTGGTCCAGTAATCTGAATCAAGGGCAATGTCCCACCATACCTCAAACACGCTCAAGAGCAAATCCCTCCCCTCATGCTGGAAGGGGCTCCCTCCCCCAGGGGGATAGATCTTCTGGGGTCAGGCTGGGCACCCTCCCAGGAATGCAACTGGCTGGCACCTCCCCAACAGGCTGTCCTTGACCTTCTTCTTTCCTACCTCCTATCGGGTGGGCACAGAAGTCTTTCATTTCTCAGGGAGTGGTCCCTTTCTCTCCTCCCCTGCTGCATGGCCACAAGTCCCCTCTGGCTATAAAAATAGGACCTTGGCCCTCCGCTGCTATTTGAGCACACAAACAGAGATAAGCAGAGATAAAGGGGAGCCCTGGCCCAAGCAGGCTTTCTGGCCCCTCCTCCCCCAGAGGCCCCTCTTTTTCTCTGTGGGCACATGGACTTCTTGCTATCTCTCTCAGTTGCCCACACTTCCACAACTCCCCACACACACAGTAAAACTCATCCACACCAAGATGCTAACTTCAGGCTACTCACAGCTGTAATCAGAAGCAGGGAAAGGCAAGGGGGGACAAATTGCTGGGCTCTGCCAGGAGCCCCCAAGGCCTGCTGCCTGGAGCAGGGCTGGGTGTTTAACTCTATCTGTGACATGGAAAAGTCTGGCTCTCAACAAGCAAGTTGGGGTAGAAGAGCAATATTTGGCATAGTGAAGGAACTGGTCGTTTTCCTCAAAGTTACACTGTTCCCCCAGCTGCCCTTGAAAAAAAATCTAGTTTAGTATTTACTCTGAATGGAATTGCAGCCTTGCCCACCACCCCCCAAAATATAAATTTATATGCTTAAGTTCTAACCTGAAAGCCAGCTAACGAAGCATGATAGTATTTAGAGAGGGGACGTGGAGGTGATTCGGTGATGAGGATGGAGCCCTTGTGTTGGGATTAGTGCCCTTATAACACTCAAGGAAGCTCTCTCTCCCCTACCCCCCAAGAAGGCAGCTGCAAGTCAGAAAGACTGACCTCACTAGAACTGGGCCACATTAGCTGACAAGCTGATCTCAGACTTCTCAGCTTCCAGAAGAGTGAAAAATAAACATTTGTTGCTTCACTCACTCAGTCCATGTTGCTTTGTTATGAATGATAGCCTGAGCTGATGAAGACGGTGTTTCTGGATACTTACACTAGGAAAGGGATTTAGGAGATGGGCAACGGTGTGTTTTCTATCCCTTTCCTCCCTCATTTAAACTCTTGCTGCAAAAACAATACTATTAATAATGTCAATGCCAACTTAATGTCATGCTCGGTATTCGCTTTGCCTATGAGAATCTGAACTCCATGAGAACAGGGACCACATTTACAGAGCACTGAACTCAGCCAGGCTTTGCACTGAACAACTCCAGGGGGTGCCACTCATGTCAGCTTCGGTGTGAATGGCACACCCTGGAGCAGTGTAACCATGAGCACAGCATTCCTGGAACTTTTACCAATTGATTCCCACCATTCAGTGCAGAGTCCAGCACATTATAGATGCCAATTAAGTCTTAACTTAATCACATTCAAAAACAGCTCATATACTACTCACCTTGGGTGGGTGTTTACATTAAAGCAGTAAAGCATACGGAGCATCGGGTGTGTAGTCTTCAGTGTTTGTTGCATGTGTAAGCTGGGGATTTCAATTGCATGGCTGACTACTTCCAACTTTAGAAAAAGGAGAGATACCTGCAATCACTCTCATTTAGTTCTCTCCACCCAGTTCCTG